CTTCGGACTAGGTGCGTTCTACTAAGTCGCCCTGACAACAAGACCAAGTTGCGACAACGAGATCAACCCATTTCTATAAATCGAAAGGAGATTGCGACCATACCAGAGGCCATAATATCTTGGCCTTCATATCTTCATTTAAAGAATGAAGTTTGTAGGTAATGTATGAATCGCAAGGGAAGAGTGGCCGTTAAATTTTCACAACATGCTGAAAGCACGATACTGACCCAAAAACCGATGGAGGTTTTGACGACTGCATCAACCCGAACGTTTCACTAGAACCAAATGAGAGCAGACCAAGAGGAACCCGATTTCGTCATCTGGTGAGGCCGACCTAAGAACTTCTTCATCACACAATTTCACTTGGAACGAAAGTCCTGCTAGCACTGCTGTACCAATGATACCCTCGAATACAAGATACCTTAAAGGAAATTAATTGTCGAAAGGAGGGTTTAAAAAATGCCTAATTACTACGAATTTTCTGTTCTGATGCTGTCCATTATATGAAGACAGAAAAGTCGACCTCGAAAAGACCGTCAACTAGAGTGTTCCACAGAAGACAAACAGCAGATTTACTAAAGAAACCCGCCATTCGAATCCCTCCATCAAACACTCTTACTCGAGACGGAGGTGAATTCAACAATATTAGTTATTTTGGGGAGACTTTCATTTCGTATCAAAGTGCATTCAACAACCCATCAAAGAGACAAGTGAAGCCGATTCTTTGACCAAACGTGTGCTACACAGTTGTGGTATCTCTCCTTCTGCCATGGGCTATTCACCAATCATATATCCTCGAACCACACCTTCACTATCACAACTTCTTAATTGCTTATTTAAATGTTGCATGCGGTGCCCTGTTGAGCAGATTTCACAAGACCTATTCACACCCCGAAACTAGCTTTCCCACCACACCCACCCATCATTAGGCTGGAAATGCTGATCTGAGTCTGTCATTATTCCCATTGGTCCTATCTGAGTCTCCGCCTTACCGCGTAAGATCCGTCTCCTATCTCCATGGTTCAGGTATTCTACTTGACCCCTGCCACCAGATCTGTACTACTCGAGGCGTAAGTTCCCACACTCTGCCTCAACTCTTTGATGGCTCCCGCCTCACCCGGAAGACCGACAAAGTCTGTATTCTTAAACTGGATGGGAGACAAAATTGAGGCTAAATAGCCCGAAGAATTCAAAGTGTCAAACCTTTTCTCCATGGATCACGTCTATTGTTAGCCAAATAGCTCTAGTCTCCACCGCCTCATTCCTA